TTTTAGTATGTTTTTAGCAATACACACCTGTATGAGAGGTTGTATATGTTGCATTTCTTTTCATATTTAAATATCTCAGTGGCGTACACGAACCGTGTACTATAAAATTTTTATTTTATCAAAAAATTTCTATGCTTATTAATAAAAAAATACATGCAATGTCATGGTGATAAAGGTTTTCGAGTACTGTATCAAATAGGTAACTTTTGACATTTCTGCTTAAATAAAGAAAATAGCAAACATGAAAAGGCGCTCGTAAAATTACTGGGACATGGACTGTATAAACAAAGCTTTGAATAGCGATAATTATGTAAAAAAGTACGTAGAACCTCATGGTGCCAACGGTTTTCGAGTGCAATATCATCTGGGGAACTTTTGGTATTATTTCTACTAAACTATATAAAATAACTTAAACATAAAAAAGCGCTCGTAAAATTATTGGGAGACGAATGATATTTATTAAGCTTCAAGAAAGGATAACTACGTAAAAAAGTACGTAGAATCTCATGGTGCGAACGGTTTTCAAGTGCGAAGCCAAATGGGTACTTCCCGACGTTATTTTTTCTAAAATACATAAGATAACTTAAACATAAAAAAGCGCACGTAAAATTATTGGGAGACGAATGATATTTGTTAAGCTTCGAGAAAGGATAACTATGTAAAAAAGTACGTAGAATCTAATGGTACCAACGGTTTTCAAGTGCGACGCCAAATGGGTACTTCCGACGTTATATTTTTTAAAATACATAAGATAACTTAAACATAAAAAAGCGCACGTAAAATTATTTGGAGACGAATGATATTTATTAAGCTTCGAGAAAGTATAACTATTGTTACTTCCCGATATTATTTTTCCTTAAATGTATTAAATAACTTAAACTAAAAAAAGCGCTCGTAAAATTATTGCGAGACGAATGATATTTATTAAGTTTCGAGAAAGTATAACAATCTGAAAAAGTACGTAGAATCTCTTCAGGTTATTTTGTTTGCCTCTAATCTATTATCTATCCTTGTAGACCGTAGGTGATTTTTCTTTGTTGAAAACGCTAAAATACGGAAAAAGAGAGAGAGACAATTGGAAATGTTCGGTTCGTTTGATTTTTTAAAGAGATCTGCGGTAAAAGACAAAAGCCCTCGTTAGGTCATTATATCCAACCCAAAATGTTGCCTCCCGCGGTTACAAAATACCGACAAAAACAAAGTGTCGAAGCGGATTGTAAACTATCTCCGGTTATAATATAGGCAAACGTTCGTTGGCTATATCCCATAACTTCTGTCATATTATATTTCTTTCGGAAATTAGCTTCGAAACGATTTTATGATGCCAGGAAAATTACGTTACTGACGCGACGCCGACGTTTGCGGTCGACTCATAATATTTCTTCGAAAACTTAAAACATTTTTGTGTGACTACATTTCCTACCTCTAATAATAAAAGCGTGAAAAATTTGGCCATCAGATTAGCTACACATTATAATCATAATGGGAATTTACTTAATTGATTGATAGATTGATACGACAGTTATTGATTTTGATATGATTTTTATAAATAAATATACATTGCTTCTTATCATTCGTTTATCTTATATTTAAACTGTCCCCATTATTTTCATTATAGACGAACAGAATTTGTGAACAGTAATCCAATCTACGTTTACCTTTACCCCTCTTAACTCCTGATTTTGTTTGTAATATGTCTCTGACTAGCTCTTTGTGTCTAAGAAGGTGTCCTACCTGCCAACTATATCGCCTATTCCTTATTGACTCCCATAGAGTCCTCTGTTCTCCTATTCTTCCTAATACCTCTTCACTCATAACTAGGGTTGCCACCTTTTCAGGCTTTACATAAAGTATTTCTCGACTAAAAGGTTAAAAAAAAAGTACTCAGCATAAAAATAAAGTATTTTAGTTTTTGTTCTTAAAAACATATTTTTTTGTTACACCTAGCAGCTAGTAACAAATTGCTGTTGCTCTCAAATACATTAATAGCCTCTAAACATGGCAAACAAAGATTTAAGTAAACTCAAAGTTCATTTTTAACTAGTTTTAATGAAGCTTTATTCCTGTCGTCCCGCCACTTTGCGTTCATAACAGAGAATACTCTTTCTGTAAATGCTGAAGTGGCCGGAACGGATAGCAAAAGTGACACTACTTTGAACAGATTTGGGAAATCAGGTTGTTCCTTAAATATGTCTTGCCATTTTTCTGTGCAATATTATTGATGTAAAAATACTCTAAATTTCGAATAATCGCTTACAAAATTACGATGTTTACTTAAAGCCTTAAATAAAGTATTTATGCGTACTTTATGTGTCTTGTAAAGTATAACGTACGCACAGTCGAAATAAAGTACAATACTTTATAATAAAGTACGGGTGGCAACCCTACTCATAACCTTCTCTCATTACCCTCGAACGCTTCTAACCTTTTCGTTTCCATTGCGCTCACCGTCTACGTTTCGCACTCGTACAGAGACAGACACCTTTAATAATTTTTTTCAAATTTCAAACTCCTGGCTTTTTTTTGTTATAGAGGACTCGACCCTGTACTTTCGTTTGTTTTGTATCTTTACTGCTTCTTCCATCCTAAATTATCTGACTTCCTAGATATTGACAATCAGCCACTTCTTCTAATTTTTCGTCTCCTATCTTTTACATTCGCTCTTCCCCTACTTTTTCTTCCCTTGCATACCAGTATTTTTGTTTTATTTTTGATTTATTTTCAATACCGCTTCCATTTCATTTAAAGCTGTCTCTAAACCCTCCTTCGACATGATGTTCATTTTGTTTTTAAAATAATTTTTTATTACAATGTATGGAGTATGACTAACACGAGACTGAAAAACAGCAGCAGCACCATCAACAGAGAAAGAAAAAAGAAGAAATAAAGGATGATAATAGGAGAGTCGACAAGAATTCGCTAAGTGGCCCGCTACGATGTCTTTTGAGTGACGGAAAGGATAACCGATAGCCAGTAACTAACCGGAGGGATAGCGTAGGTACGGGATCGCTGGTGTCGTAGATTTGGGGAATAAAAGGCTGGAACAAATCGGCTACTCAGCAGGAGCCTTCGGCCCTTTATAAGAATTCCATACGACAGTTGTATTGTTCCGACGCGTTCGTTTCGACATATGGAACAAATCGAAAACAGTGACCACTAAAATGTCAGAAAATCTGGTCGTCAGATAGAATATTGTATCTCAAAAGCTATACCATAATAAACTAGGCTCTCTCAAGACAATTTATAGAGAATTTTATAATTCAGAAAATCAAAAATGATATTAAGATATATTAGATTAAATTACTGAGTAGGTGTTAAAAAAACCTTAAATTGTAACTTTTTGAGATCATTTAATTCTCTATAAGAGTGATGGAGTTACAGGCATTACTCTGAATTCAGCAATTTTGGGAATCAGATCATCATCATAAGGTCGTCAGTCCTAAGACTGGCTGAACACGTACCTCTACTCTTTCTTATCCTGAGATAATCTTCGCATTTCCCACATTTGTAACTATTTGTGAACTGTAATTTAGTCTACGTCTACCTCTATTCCTCTTAACTCCTGTTTCTGTTTCTAATATGTCTCTGACTAGTCCTTCATACCTGAGAAGGTGTACTACCAACCTATTTCACCTATTTCTTAATGACTTCCATAGAGTCTTCTGTTTTCCTACTCTTTCTAATACCTCTTCATTTCTAACCTTCTCTATCCACGGTATCCTCATAATTCGCCTGTAACACCACATTTAAGGCTATCTCTAACTCTTTCTTACTAGATGTTAGTACTGCTATATCATCTGCAAGTCTAAGAGTTCTAGAAAGGTATATAGCAGCATCAGATTTAATAATTAGGTGCCCATGATGGACACAAATAAGGTGGGAGATTCCCTGTAAGAGTAGGTAGGCATATTTGGTGATTTAGAAATCGGTTTTGGATTTTTCTGCATTGTTTTACCACAAAAGAAAGTGGGGGACTGCTCCAAGTTAAGTATATATTTGCGAAAGTCTTTCTCTGTGCCATGTAGCTAAGTCGATATCCTTATATATATATATATATATCTTCGAAACGATTTTATGATA